ACGTTGTATGATAGCGTCATTCGTATGGCTTGGTCACTAAGCGACCGGGATGGTCCCGCCGGTACACTTCCCCGAAAGTGATAATGGCCTAGTTAGAATTAATTGGCCTTTAGAGTAGGCGGACAGTCGCCGCTTGCTCTATGTATAAGTTTGTTTCCTTCCTTTTTGAGGATTCCGCTATTTTTTACAGCTATCCCTTTTCATAGAGTTCTTCTTCTTTGCTTCAGCTCTTTCACCTTTTTTAATTCAAAGCTTTCGCCTAAGTCGTTATTTCCTTTCTCTTGTTCCACCACAGTTATGGCTGCCATGCCCAAATTTGTTCGCCCAGAAAAGGAGAGTTCCGCCTCCCGCTCGGCTGGTGGTACGCTGCCGGCGTCCGGTGAGCTAACCCCGAGAGGCTTTATCTCGAAGATAGACTTTACGTTATAGAGGCCTCCCAATGTTCAGGGCCAATGGGAGTATGCATCGAGATTCATTTCATCAATAGGAGAGGGACACCTCGAGGCAGTGATGAGAGATTGCGGATGGGGAGAAGAGGTGGTATTGCAGGTACCTTCCCTAGGAGAGAGCATCATGGCTCATGTAGAGGGGTTTCTGAACGTATACACGTACCCCTTTACGTTGGGCCCTCTTGATAGAGTTGTGCTCGACTTCTGTTGAGGATATCGGGCTACCCTGGCACAAGTTCACCCGTCGTTATGGAGGGTAGTATTGATGATGAGGTTTTTTGCGGGGGAAGCCGGGCTTGAGTTCACCCTTAGCCATCTCATTAGGCTGTATCGACCCTTTCATCACCGAGGCCTGATAACTTTGCGATGCCGATCCACCAGGCCCTTTGTTGCCGATGATGAAGAAGATGGGGACCGAGGGTGGATGAATCGATTCGTCCGAGTAAGGACTGTCGATATTATCCCCATGGAGTTCCTGCCATTTCCCGAGAAATGGAATGTCACACGTAAGTGGTACTCTTGTGTTTTTATCGTTTCTGCTCATGATGGAGATGGATTCTGTAAAGACGCTTTCCCTTTCTTTTTTGCAGCAGTCCCGTGGATGCCGTACGAGGTCCCCGACCTGACGGATTGGGCTTGGAAGCTGGCAGCCCGCTCGACCTATGATGAGCGTAAGTGACGAGATCTGTCCAAGGGTAGATGGGAGGCAAAACACCACGGTACATGCTGTGTGGTTTGCTTTCTTTGAAAGGTACTTTCTTTTATGTGTACTAACTCTGTCATCGCAGGCATTGGGGAATTTTCTGAGATGAGACTGTGCCCCCTCGGAGAGGAGGAAGGATCGTCGGTTTCGGGCCCGAGGAATAATAAACACACGGAAGGAACCCTTGCAGGGCGAAGGTGCTCATAGCGAGACAAGTCCTGCCCGGAGGCCTAGAGAAGATATTTCGGCTGAGCCTGCAGCACCCGAGGCTTCTGGCCTTAGAAAAATGGTTCCTCCTTTGCCTCCGTCTTCTCTTCCCATCGAAGGTACTTCGAGCGATAAGGATTTTCTACCGCCGTCTTCTTTTCCCGTCGAAAGTACTTCGAGGGGTGTTCGAGATCAGAGGCCGCCTTACTCAAGCGAGGTCTCGAACGATCACATTCCTATTAGGAACGGTTCTGCTGGGGCCGATGAGACCAGGTCGGTAGGTGTGCATTTGGCTTTTGAGGAGGCTCAGCGACTCTGTTCGGTGGTGAGCTTTGGCCGATTGTATTGGCTTTTCAGTTTTGCACTTTCATTTCCTTATTGAGCTCCTTTTTCGTAGGCCTTTGATAAGCTTAAGTCCGAGCTGCTTCGCCGTGAAGCCAGGTTGCGAAAAGCTTTGGATGGGGAGAAATCCCTTAGGCTTCTTTGTGACAAAAGGAGAGAGGAGTTGGTATACCTACGGTACGAGGCGAATCGAAGCCTGAACAACGAAAGCCACCTTGAGAAACAGGTAACCTTTGCTTCGAGGGAATGCATGCTTCGTCTTCTATCCTCAAAGATTAATATTTTGATACTTCAGTTGCAGAGCAAGACAGAGGATCTGGAACGCCTTTGGGGCGAGATTGGCCAGGCCAAGTATGAGTGTAACGGGCTAAGGGCTCAGATAGATGCCCATATTGCGGCCAAGAAGAATGCTTTGGCCAAGGTTTCTGCCCTCGAGGTACAGCTCCGGAACGCTCGTGAAAACATCTCGGTTCAGACGGGCAGGATTGCAAGGCTCGAGTCCGACCTTTTGAACTGAGCAATCGCCAGCTGTTGTGCCTGTAATATCTCAAAAGTAACGTGAAGGCTAACCTCTTGTTCCCCTCGCGCTGGGATTTCCTGAGCTTCCTGTTGGTTTTCTCGGCGTATACTCCTGTCAGTGTGGGAGCTTACATCGACGTGTTGGGCGTAGGGGTGGGCATTCGGTCGGTTCAGTTCGGTTTGAAGAAATTCGGTTCGGTTATTCGGTTTTCGGTTTTGTAAAAGTAGTAACTGAAACCGAACTGAAATAAGTTCGGTTTTTCTAATTTCGATTCGGTTATTTCGGTTTGGTTTTCGGTTTGAATATTATCATATTGGACTCCTTCTATGTAATAATACGACCAGCGAATTTGTTGATTTTTCCCAAAACTTCGAAATTGTTGGAAATATTGTGTTTATAGAAAAAAAATAGATTAAACTTTGCACACTATTATGGATCATAAAATTCAAACATAGTGTAAATTACAACTCTGTGTGAAATTCTCCCGGTATCTATCACATATGCTATGGAAGTTTTAATAGACGGAAAATCTTTAAGATTGGAAAGTTGATGGACTTACTTAATTGGGTTGAGTCTTTGATAGATTGGACCTAATAGTATTAATTTATCACCTATGGGCTTAGCCTATATATAACTTAAAGAACATATATGCTAATAATTCGGTTTTTCGGTTAACCGAACTAAAAAATTTAATAATCGAAAACTGAACCGAAAAATCAAAATTTTAAACCGAAACCGACCGAACAAACCGAATAACCGAAACCGAAATAAAAAAAAATTCGGTTTGGTCGGTTTATTCGGTTCCGACCGAAATATGCCCACCCCTAGTTGGGCGTTGCGTGAGACCACATCCACGAGAATTGGTTCTGGTGCATCCTCAGGGTTTCGTGGTGGTACAACAATACCTGGAATAGCTACACCATTCTCTCCATGGTCCTCAAGACCGTTGTTTTCATGTGCGTTTACTGAGTTAAACATTTTGACCTGAAATCAAAGATTCTTGGACAAGAAAAAGTGTGAAAAATAACTTGTGTTATGTAGTAAACCAACAAGAAAACAATCACTATTATTTTTAGCCCCACGGTGGGCGCCAAACTGTTTACCTTGAAAATGGTAATTACAATTAGATTTGATTTTGTGGTTCTAAAAATACGTGATTTATTTTTATGCTAGTTGTTAGGCAGTAAATGCTAAGTGTGAGACTAGAAAATAAGATAAGAGCTTGAAGGCAGTGTGTCAAGCGAACCGGATGGCTGAGAATCGGCGCCTCGAGCTGGCCTATACGGGGCCTCGAGGTCGAGCTAAGCGTTAGGCTGTGCCCGGTAGATGAAGGACTAACAGTTTTGAGAGCTTTGGTAAGAGCTTTTTATGATCAATAATGAATAATAAATGAAGAACAATTAATGAAATACAATAAATGTAAGTAATAGAAATAAGGGAGAATGTATTTAAGTTAGAGAGCAGAGAATGTTATTATATTGAATGTTGTATATGTGTATCGTATGCGCAAAAAATAACAAGGATCCCCTTTATATAGGAGGGAGAATCCCAACATAGTACATACGCATTTATTACAAAGACAAATGGCTGGTACAACCATTTAATACCACGGTACGGGCTTGTACTATTCTTATAGACTTGGTCAGCTTTAACCGCTTGCCTTGGGAATTTCCGGCTTCGGTCATCATAGCCGCCGATTTGCTCTGCCCCGAGGTCGATCATAAGGAACCCTCGGGGTTGGGCCTCGAACTGTGCCCCGGGCCTCCCGAAGGCTGGCTACGGGATGTCACAATGAATATAAAATCGGGCTCTCCGATTTTAGCCGTATACACTACTGCCTTAAGTTTTCGGGATGTAACATAGTATGTTTCAAGATAACAGTTGTTGATGCATATGCAAGTCAATGAGCTGAATTCAGAACTTATCAGAAGAAATCGGCTTGTGAATTGTCATTTTCTTTGCTCGCATGTGAATAGTATAGGTGTACATGTGTCCTCTTAACACTTACATGTTTAACTTCTAGTCTAACATGAATGTTAACTATCAAATTGCTCTATAGTTGTATCGTACTACAAGAACAACAATAATGTCTCAGTCCCAAATAAGTCGAGTCGGAAATATAAATCCTCACTGGTTGTGTATCTCCATTTAAATCCATCTCAGGCCAACATTATACATCTGTACCTTACTACTGAAGTATTAAATTATATTGATTTGCCTAAGAGTGAGTTTCTGGTGTCATTCCTAACTATAATTTTTTTTTTCCCTGTTGAAGACTTTCAGTCTTTTGATATATAGAAAAGACAACCAATGTATGAGGACCATTCAGCTTTTTCGTCTGTGGCTTGTTAAATTGTTAAACCAATGCATGCGGCTAACTCTCAGGGAACAAAGCAATTGTGCTTTCACGTTTTAAGTTGGTTTTTACCATTAACATTACAGCTACTATGTATTTTCTCGACTATCATCTTCTTTCTGAATGAGAGAAGATGTCACACATGATGGATTCTCTATTTCAGCTTTTAAGAACCTCTATGCACAGATATGTACCTGTTTTTGTCATACTATATTTTGCAAACTGCTTAGCATAGAACTTTCTAATCTCATACTTCATCATGCTGATTCTTTTCTGATGTTGTTCTTCTCCAAGACATTTGATATTTTGGAGGGTACATCACCGGAATCTCCCCCTCCCCCTTATCTGCAAAGGTTGCGGATAACAATTGTGATTTTTAGCTGCCAATGCTTCAATCCTGTACTTAACATGCCTTAATTTCTTGTAGCGGCAATATCAAACCCATGGTCAGAGTTTAGATTGTACCGAAATCCAAAAGCCAGAAATGACGGAAGCTTTGTGTCGTTAGTGGATTTCTTGACATATGCAAAAAATGCCACAACTGTATCTGGTGTGATGATCAGCATAGAGGTGAGTTTATTTCTGCTGGTTCTGTTGACATTGTTAATACCAATTACATTATGTATCAGCAAACATAAAGTTCATATTACACCTAAATGGGTATATCCGTTCTGCAGTAGTTTTATTTGACGTCACATAAATTATGAGATTTCGAAAAAGGGCTTTACAATTCCATGAAGGCAAAGAAAATACCAAGAGACTTTTGGAATATGAATGTAATAATTTTTAACTTCAGTTGTTGACATGATGGGTTTTTCCCTAAATAGAAGATATCTTTTTTGCTCTTGTGGTTTTTGTTTCACACTCAATCGGCACTGAGGGATGGGAAAAGAATGCCTTGAAGTGGAATATTCCAAAACGCAAACGGCAAAGAGTTTCTGATAATTTAAGAATAAAGTCTTCCCTTGAAGATCCATTATTCATCTATTTATTTCATATGATTACTCTTTATGTTTGGGGATGGCTTGTCGGTATGGGAGTTAATGCAACTTTCAGAGCGAAGCTAGAGGAGGGAAGGGAGACAATCTTGACCCAGTGTTGGTAATAATGAAAAGCAAAGATTTTATTTTTCCCTCTTAAGATGATGTTCACGTAAAAAGTTAATTCTTTCCTCTTAATATCAATGTTTTTTTTATAAGGTAAATTGTACTAATCAAAAGGAAGAAAAAACTCTTGTATACAAGAAGTATACCAAAAAGTAGAGAATTTACATCAAAGCATGATTCTCTAAAAAAGACGTCCAATCTTCTATACAAGTAGGGGCTATATGAGTGCAGCAAAAAGCGATCGAAGATAAAAAACTATTCTTAAGATGTGAAAAAGGAGACCCAATCCCCTCAAAAGCTCTCCTATTTCTCTCTCCCCCAAACTATCCACATGAGAGCTAACGAGGCGAACTTCCACGCCTTTTGCTTTCTTCTTCTACGGAAACCGGCCCAGCTATATAACATTTCCTTTACAGTGCTTGGCATCACCCATTGAACACCAAAAATATTCAGGATCGCCCTCCACAAACCCGAGGACACAGTGCAATGCAACAAAAGATGATCAACTTCTTCCCCTGAGCTTTTACACATGTAGCACCAACTAACAAGTGTAATTCCTCTCTTTCGCAGATTTTCAGCAGTCAAGATCACTCCCCTCGCTGCTAGCCATGCAAAAAAGCACACATTCGTGGGCGCCTTAGGAATCCAGATCGAGGAATATGGAAAAGTGGCCTCCTCTCTCACCAACATACTCTGGTAAAAGGACTTTACGGTGAACAATCCATCGCCACGCAACCCCCATCTCCAAGAATCACAAGATGGCTGGGGCCTGTCTTGTCCATATAGCAGTGCCAACAAATCTTGGAGCTCCGCAATCTCCCAATCTTGCATGTTCCTTGTAAATGAGAGGTCCCATACTACCCCCTTCATGCTCCTTGTGAATCTGTTGGACCATCAATTCTTTCTGGTTTGAAACTCTGAAGACGCGGGGGAAAGAGACCCTCAGAGTATCCTCTCCACACCACCTGTGATTCCAAAAGCCGATTCTCCTTCCATCTCCCACCCTGTAAGTGATGTTGCCATTGAAGGCTTCCCAATTCTTCATGATGCTTCTCCACATGCCACACCTGAAAGGTGCTATGCTATGATTGTCTTGGTCCTCCAACCCCCTCCCGTGGAATCGTACTTTTCTACTATGACCTCTCTCCATAGAGCATGCTCTTCTACTCCGAATCTCTACAGCCACTTCCCCAACAAAGCTCTGCTGAATAACCTAAGTTCTTTTACTCTAAGTCCACCCCACTTCTTTGGGGAAGTGACTATTTGTCAATTCACTAGACGAAACTTTCTAGTTCCATCCGTCGCATCCCAAAGAAAATTCCTTTGAAGCCGCTCAAGTTTATTTCTGATGCTCACATGAGCTTGCAACAGGGACAAGTAATAGGTGGGCATACTCGATAAAGTCCTTTTTAATAAGCACTTCCTTACCGCCTTTTGACAAGTAGCGTTTCTGCCAACCTGCTAATCTTTTTTCAATCCTTTTGATCACTGGATTCCAAACTATAGTATCCTTATGCGAAACGCCCAATGGGAGACCCAGGTAAGTAGTTGAAAGAGAGCCCACCTTACATCTGAGAACACGAGACAAAGCATCCATGTTAGCAACCTCACACACCGGGAAATTTCACATATGCCGAGGTTGATTTTGAGTCCTGATACTATCTGAAACCACTGCAGGACCTGCTTCAGATAGGTCAACCGATCCATATCGGCATCATAGAAAACCAGGATGTCATCCATAAAAAGCAAATGAGAGACTCTTCGGGCATTGAGCACCCCGATCGGAGCTAAGAATCCTCTCAAGAAGCCTCCGCCCGCCGCACGATCCATTATTTTACTCAGAGCATCCATCACTAGAATGAATAGCATGGGGATAGGGAGTCACCTTGCCTGAGACCCCTGGAGCTGCCAAAGAAACCACACGGGCTACCATTAACCAGGACAGAGAATCTGACTGAGGAAATGCAGAACTTGATCCATCCCCTCCATCTTACCCCAAACCCCATCCGCATCATAATGAAATCCAGGAACTCCCAATTGACATGGTCGAAAGCCTTCTCAAGGTCCAACTTGCATAGTAAGCCGGATTCTCTATTTTTCCTTTTGGAGTCTACCAGTTCATTTGCCACCAAAACAACGTCCAGGATCTGCATACCTTTCATAAACGCATTCTGGGAGGACGAAACAGACACGTCAAGAACCTTCTTGAGTCTATTGGAGAGCACTTTAGAAATAATCTTGTAAATGCTCCCTACAAGACTAATAGGCTTGTAGTCTCTGATACAAGATGCACCTTCTTTCTTAGGCACAATAGTAATAAAAGAGACATTGATACTTCTCTCGAAAACACCATTCACGTGGAAGTATTCAATGGCTTCCATCAACACCTCCTTAATGGTGTCCCAACAGAGCTGGAAGAAGGCCAAGGAGAAACCATCAGGCCCGGGGGCCTTATCACCAACACAACTCGACACAGCCTCGTGCACCTCCTTCTCCTCGAAAGCCCTTTCTAGCCACTCACTATCTCACTGCCCTATGTGATTGAACTCTATTCCCCCCAAAGTAGGCCTCCAACTAACTTCCTCTTTGTATAAGTTCTCATAAAACCCCACTATCGCCCCTTTTACCTCCTCCTCTCCCTCAATCCTCACCCCATCCACAACTAAGGGCTCTATGAAATTTCTCCTTCGATTTGCAACCGCAACCCTGTGGAAAAACTTGGTATTTGAATCCCCCTCCTTTAACCAGAGCGCCCTCGATTTTTGCCGCCAACTAATCTTTTGAGCTATTGCTAACTCGATTATTTCCCTCTTAACCTCCCCCAATCTCGCTTTCTCAGATTCATCTAGCTCCCTCGCTCCTTCCCCTCTCTCTGATTCCCTCAATTCATGCATAAGCTCCCTCATTTTAACCTCTACCCTCCCAAAAACCTCCTTTCCACCTAATAATATCTCTCTTGAACAATTTAAGTTTCTTCGAAAGACGAAATGAAGGTGTCCCTAGTATCCCGTAGCTTGTCCACCATTCTTTCACTTTGTCACCAAATCCTGGCACTTTCAACCACATATTCTCGAATCGGAAAGGAGCACGCACCCCCCTCCCTCTGCATCCATCTAGCAAGATAGGCAAATGATCCGAAGTCAGCCTAGGTAAAGGAATCTGCAGCACTTGCGACACCAGCTCATCCCAAAAGGGCGATATCATAAATCTATCAAGTCTAGACCTTGAGTTGGAATCCTCCACCCTGGCACAAGTAAACCTTTCCCCTGACAGAGGAAGATCAATGAGAAAGTGATCATTGGTGAAGTCAGAAAACTCCTCCATGGCCCTCGAAATCAGACTACACCCTAATCTCTCCTCCGGGAATCTAATAGTGTTAAAGTCTCCCCCTAGAACCCATGGAATGTCCCATTTCCCCATAAAGTCTCCCCTCCTAATATCAATGTTCACATTCCCAAAAGGAAATTATGGGCAATTACAAAAAGTAATCCTGTTGCTTGCTTAAGCAGTAAACATATCTGCCCTCTCACTAATTTTGTGCTTTAGAATTCCTATCATTTGCTGTTGTTGCTCAGTTTACCTATTAGAAGGAAATTATGAACATCTGTTTACTGTACGACGGTTAATAAGTATTAAAGATATGCTTTTTAAAAAATTTAAAAGTTGTCCATATAGCTGTATAGCTGACAGTCTTCAATTTCTTTTACGAAGAAGCAAACTTTAGTGCCAGGAGGAAGCAACAAAATCCATACCAATTCATTTTTTATTTGACAATGCTTGTGCAGAATGCAGTTTACCTGGCAAAGCATGGATATGGTGTAACTGCTGCTGTTCTTGAAGCCTTGAGCAACACTGCTTACAATAATCAGTCAGCCAAGAAAGTTATGATCCAATCAACAGACAGTTCGGTTCTAAAAGAATTTAGGAAAAGCCATTATGAACTTGTGTATAGGGTTGCTGATGATATCAGTGATATTGAGAGCTCAACTATATCTGAGATCAAGAGCTTTGCTAGTTCTGTAATTGTAACCAAAAAATCTGTTTTTCCAAGTGAGGAACAATTTCTCATTGGGCAAACAGATGTGGTGCAGAAGCTGCAGTCATCGAATCTCCCAGTGTACGCAAGACTCTTTAATAATGAATTTGTGTCTCAAGCATGGGACTTCTTCTCAGATTCATCTGTCGAGATAAACAACTATATCTCTGGAGCTGGTATTGATGGTGTTATAACAGAATTTCCCGGCACAGCTGCTAGATACAGAAGTAAGTAATTCCTATAGCTTGTTTTTACTCCCATTGCATTCCATCCCCAGCTTCTCTTCCTTTATTTCCTCCCTCCTCTCTGAAGTACAACTGCAATTTGCCATGTCTACTCGTATTTTCTGGAGATTTTGCTTGGTCTTTCTAATCTAAATTATAATAGGAAACGCTATACTAGTAGACATCAGAAGCTTATGAATCAAAGTAAAATTACAACTGCTTTGGACAAGTAGGAAGTATATTTGGAAATAACACTGATTTGGGCAGTATGGATTCTATTTTGGACTATGGTACTGATTTGTGGAACTTCTGGGTTATAGGGAACCGTTGTTTGGGTTATAAAGACCGACCACTGTATCTTAGCCCTGTTGAACCTGGAGGTCTCCTACAATTCATGGCTCCTCAGTTATTGCCAGCAGCTGAAGCTCCAAATCCAATACTTACTGATAGTGATGTGGTTGAGCCACCTCTACCTCCTGTTGCAAAGATCACTCCTGCTGGCAATGAGTCTATAGCTGCAACTCCCACCCCTCCAAGTGGTCAATCCTCAGTTGTGGCTGGCGTTTTCACAAGTTGCGTCGCCATTCTTCTTGCCAATCTTCTGATCTTTTGATCAAATCAGATCATTTGTGCCTCAGTGAGACCATACAGTGCACTTTGTATGTCCATTTTGCTGATCAACTTCATGTTATTGCAAAGCCATGCATGATCACGACAGTAGTCTATGTAAAGAGAATAGAAGAGGGAAAATAACGGGGATTGTTATATTGGTTGTATCACTGAGTAGAGAAAGAGTCTGTACAACAATTAAATCAACAAAGATTAAGTTGAAGAAGATAAGGACTATAAGAAAAGAGCCCAAATAGGAGGAGAAAGTTACAACAACGTCTTAAAGATTAGGAACTGCAAAAAATAAAGAAAAGTGATTTTCTTAGACAATTCCATTAGTTGAGTGACCGAGCAATCAACTCCATTTCATGTGCATAGCATATTTCTTGATATAGTTACACAGATAGGACTAAGGTCCCTTTTCGTTGTTTGATTAGGAAGTTCAGTTCCTCGTTGGACACCTAGAGGTTGCCAGCACCTATGCCAGAACCGGACAGTCACGGGGCAACACTTGTTCGGCCCATTAAATGCAAAGAGACGTGCGTCCTTTCAAGTGTCAGAAACCGTCCAAGAACTTTCTCCCCAAGAAAAGAGAGGTCTTATCTACTTCCTGATCACATCAAGCTGAGTCACCGGAAAGTAGGGGGACTATCTGTATTAAGTAATGAACCGCTTAGTTATGATGGCTTTATATTGAACTGCTTATAAACTTCCTCCCTTTTCTCCAATTTCATCTTTCACTTTTTCGCACTTCTTCATCGAGCCTTCTTAAAACTTTTTTGAAACTCTCTTTTCCTTAGCAAAACCTTAAAATTCGAATACCACATTTCTGCTATTTCTTTCCCTGGCAACTCCTCTTCTGCCACTAAACAACACAGCCTTAATTTGACTTCATCCCTACTGTCATCTACCGGTGCTGAGACTTGCATCAACGACAGACCATCCAAGAAAAATAAGTCCAACAAACTTGATTTTGGACCTCCCACAATAAATACAATCATCCCTTCTCAATGGTATTTTAAAAAGGATCTCCAGGTCCAAAATGAATCCTCTGATCCCGACAACGATAGAAACAAAGTCATCGGCAAATATCCTTTCTCTATTCACCTGACGAGTATTCTCGTTGTGAAGGAGGATTGCGACTGGAAGAATGTCGAGGTTTTAGTCCCCCTTGAAGTGGAGAGGGTAACTTTCAGCAAACCAGGGTATGTTTTTTTTAGACATACCCTTTCACTCTCACATTTGGCAAAGAAATAGATCTAGTTATCCTAGAACTTTCCCGGAACTACCAAGTCTGCTTGGCCCAAGTGGGACCGGCGATATGGCATATGGTATCTTGCCTCCGTCCCCTATATGCCTGAACATAGGAAAACCTCTCCCTTGCATATGTGATCCACCTTTATGCTCCCAAGATTTTATGAAGAGGCATGATCAAACTTAGCAAAAGTGGTAATAATGCCATCATCATCAGTGTGGATGATGACAATGACCGTGGCTGGATGGAGAGATTTGTTATTGTTTCTCCCAGAGATATTTTACCGGGATCAGCATCCCCTATCCCTGAAGTTTGGAATTACGCTCATAAGTTTTCTCAAGTATCTCTTATGTGTTATTTTGAAAGTGTTTTCAGTCTCTCCTATACTTTTTATTTTATTTTAGCCACTCTCTGGTTCCCCCGGTAGTAAAGGACCTAACGCAATGGGTTTCAATTTTTTTTGGATACTTCCACACTAGACTTCCGCATGTGAAAGGAAATTTCAATAAAGAAGAATTACAAAACCAGAGACTACAGTGAGAAAAACTCAATCTTTGCTTTCTTGGCATTTACCTCCATATTAAATAAATTGCTAACCTTTCATATTAATACTTCAGACCTTCTAAAGGGGTCTTTCGGTTTCCCAATCGTCGAGGTTTCATACGACCAAAGGTAGATCAAAAACGGCTTCAAGAGGTCCTTGACCGAAAAATGGCTTGTTTCCGGTGAAGGTGCGTCTTCCCTCAGTCCCCATCCCAAAGTAAGAAACCAAAAAGAAAATATCCCTTTAAGGCTAAAAAGAAGCCCCCCATCACGGAGAAGATCTGAGAAAGACTGCCCATAATGGTCCTTGATAAAGATGAAACCGAGGACGGTACTGAATCGTTTTATCTTCAGAGAAGAAGAAGAAGAAAAACACCAGCAGCTCAATCAGAGGGCGTAGATGGACCCTTCAAGAGTAAGAATTGGCTAAAATGACTGATTCCCGTTTTCGGGATCCGATTGTCGCCCCTAGTCAGAAGGGTTCTGCTTCTGATTCTCCCCCAATTTCTACTCCATCACTATCTCCTTTTTCGCCACCGGTATCCATCGAACAAGAGCAAGGTGTTCGTTCCCCCCCCATCACCCGATCAAGGAAATATAGCGAATGCCTATTCGGCCTCTATCTGGGACCCTAATGGTAAACGCAGTGTTACTTACAGTTTTGGATGAGTGTCACTTACTCTCCAAACCGGTTGGGGTAGCCAACTACTTGAAACCTCTAGCTACGAACAAGTTTTGGAGAATGATGGATGCTCTTTCTGCTGAGTGTTTAATCCATAATAGCATACATCTTTCTGCTCACGTACCATTCATCTTGCTTTCCTCTTATTTACACTTATTTTTTAACATCTTTGAAAATTTTAAATAAAAATTTTCAGGCTAACCTTCTGGTCTCCGAGGGTTTTCAAAGCCGAGCGAAACCAACTTGCGGAGCGGCTTCCAATTTTAGAGGCCAAACTTGCTCAAATGGACAAACTCAAAGCCTGAATGGAGCAATCAGAGCAAGAAAAAATAGCGCATAGTGAAAAAGCCACTCATCTACATGCCGAGCTCGCTGAGTTAAAGATTAAGTGGGCAAAGTTGCAGGATGCTATTAATTCGGCGGCCAAGCGTGAGTTTGCTTTCATGGATAGAATCAACAACTTGGAGGCTAACTTACGTTCCAAGACCAAGGAAGCTGCTGCGGCTGAGGAGAAGATCTCAAAAATGGAGGACAAGTTTTGTAAGGTCATGGAACAAAACTGCGAACATGCTAAAACCAATACCGACCTTTCTAGGGCCTACAATATTTTGAAGGTCCATAACGAGAGGCTGCAGTTAAAAATCCAATAACTCAAAGCCAGACTCCGAGATCAAGAAGACTCTTTCTTACTTGAGAAAACTCATGTCGTTTATCATTTGAGGAGGAAGACTCTGGAGGATTCCAAAAATGGCATTTCAAATATAGACGACTGCATTGCCAAAGCTCTTGCTTTGGAAAAAATTGTCGTCGAGAATATTTCTGCCCAGCCCACTACTTCAAGTTCAGATACTTGCTCTGAGTCTTTGAAATATGAAGAGGAAGACAAAGGCAAATCAGAAGGAGTTGAGCCTGAAGATGAGCATCCTTCAAGCCCAAAAGATGCCGAAGAAGCTGCTCAACCCTCAGCCTTTGCTAATAAAGCAGATTGAAAGTTTTTTTTACAACTCTTTGCAACTGTAACTTTGGCCTCGCTTTTGGGCTCGGAATAAAATATCCTTCTTACTTAACCTCTCAGAGATTTTAGTTAGCAAAAGACATCTTTCTTATATATACTTATCCGCTGATAAAGTACGAAAATTTTCTCATCTGATTAACTTCATTACCAGGTATTCATATTTTCGGTTTTTAACCATTAATTAGAAAGGTTTCATAAGAGAGGACCTTTATATTTACGGTGCTCTTTTTTGAAGAAGACGCCTCCTGTTCATTCTAGCACTTGCATTTGAAGTTTAAGCAACATTCAAATAAAAGAAAAACCATGTCATCTGGACAAGAAATAAGATATATAAACAAAAGGACTTTCATTTACTCCTTCTATTCTCAAAAGTAAATTTACATACGCCAGAAAATTTGAACATTCGCTAAGTAAATGAAACTGCCAATATATGTATCTAATTCGTACTTCTTATTTCTACAGGGCTGGATATACAGTCCTCGGTCCTACGTCGATGTCTTTCGTAATGACTGAACTTTTAAGTTTAAGATATATTTCTCGATTTCAACAGTCCCTGTATCACTTCGTTTCTAGATTCTTCATTTGCATTTTGATGCTAGCACTGATACTTTTAGTGCTCTGATAGGAGTATCCCCCCTCCTCCCCCCCCCCCCCCCAAATGTTCGAATGCAAAGTATGAGAATTCGAACACTGGATTTATTTCACCATCAATAATTCTCATTTAGAGTACACTTTAATTGCTACCTCATCAAAAACCTCACCACAAAAATCTATTTGGGACAAAAACTGGGCGAAGGAAAAAGGAGTGCAGCGTGTACTTTCAGTATAATCAACGATCTTCAACAGTAGTACATTTTCATCCTCTGCTTTTGTGCCATCATTCTCACATAAGCCAGATTTCGATGTCCTTCAAGCAAATCCAGCTTAATCAACATGGCTTCCTCATTTTCCCGCTCATTTGCCTGGGAGAACCTCATAGTTGGTTCACCTATCTCCATCGAAATCAGAGCTTTTGCACCATACACAAGGGAGAAACGTGTTTCTCCGATGCTTGATTTTGCCGTGATTCGAAATGCCCATAATAATCCAGGTAACTCCTCCGGCCACCTACCTTTTGCAACTTCTAACTTCTTTTTGAAGTTTTAAATGATCACCTTGTTCGTTGACTCTGCTTGACCATTAACACTTGGATGATACGGAAATTACGCGATTGATACGCTTAAATTACACCTAAATAAATGGTGTAAGGCGGTCGATGTCAAATATAATAACCCAACTAGGTTGGGGTCGAATCTTACAGGAAATAGGTGAGAAAATGTTACTTGAATAGTGTGAAACTTGACTTAGGTCGTAATCCTACTCCGTTAGCTTAAAAAAGAGTGTTGTAATACAACTATTTTGTTATGAGAATGTAATTAATTTATTTAAGGAAACCAATGTTGTGTCCCCATCAATGGAATGTAATGCTATCAGTGTTAATATAATATATTTCTAATGGAAGGTCCTTTGATATGCAAATGGTTCCTAAATGACTATCCAATATTTCCCAATAGTTAGGTAGTATTTCCTCTTTATGATCTTTCCAAATATAAAAGAGTTACAATTGAGAACAACTAATTTATGCAAAATAAAACACACTTACTCCTAAGCAATTCTATTAAACAATGTTTAAAGCCTTGAGTTTTTGCTATTCAATTCTACCAAACCCTAACCCACTTTTTCAAGTAAATAGAGAGTGAAATATCATTAGTCAATGTTTGCAACTATCAACATTAAATGAAGCATGAGAAATGAATAAATACCAACCAACCATTATATATATATATTCAGTGGTAAACACCCATTAACATTACATCCATTTGTGATATGTGATATGAGTGAGTATGTGATATGACATGGACAACATGTTAAGAAGAAAAAGAAAAAAAATGAAAAACAAAGTTGTTTTTGCGACCAGTTTTGCGATCGCATAACAACTCTGCGAGCCGCAGAACCTTTCGCATAATACAATCCTCAGAAACAAAGCAAGTTTTGCGGTCCACAGAAGTGGCCGCTAGCAACTTATGCGACCGCATATCGGTTGCATTTTGTTCTTTAGAATTTAGCATTTTGTCTGCCTCTGTCTGCGACCATTTTGCGGTCTGCAAAACGTTTCTATGGTCGTAATTCAACCGCACATGGGCATATAGAAAAACAACCTAGCATGCAAAATGTGATGACTTTGCGGACCGCAAACCAGTTAGGCAGACCGTAAGGATCATCATTCAAAGAGGTAGTGTCAGGTCAGTCTCACTCAGTCCCAAATACATAAGCTTCCCAATTTCTACACTCAGTCATTACATACTAATTAGGATGAAATGTAAGCAAAATGCTACAACTTTCCAACCCCTGTTTTTGTTACTCCTACTCTCTAATTGAAATCCCCAAATATCGATTTACCCACAGTGACCCCCCAACATCAATTTTTAGTAAAATTTCTCAGAATTGAGTACCCATAGCATGGAGTTGGGAGAAAAAGAAGAGGGCAATGAGAGCACATGGAATTCTTCAATTTCATTAAGCAAGAGAAAGGGTGGAAGTGTACGTACCAGATAGCAGAGTATGGGCGATATCGATCTGAAGCACGAGCAAGTTACTTTTTAATTTTGTGTTGTTGTTTCAATGTTTAAGGGTGGAACTTCTTCTTTTGATAAGCTTCCAATCCGTCGGGGATAAGGTCACTAATCAAGAAGTTGGCGATGTCGGCATACCAATGAGTGAAAGTGCCAGATAATGCCAATATGTGTTCATCTGGGAATGCATCATTAATTTCAAGATCTTCTTTTGATCTCCCTGCCTCTTCAAGCCTAGATAAGTGATCCACAACTTGATTCTCTGTTCCTTTCCTATCTTTGACTTCAAAGTCAAACTCTTGTAACAAAAGAACCCACCTAATCAATCTTGGTTTAGCATCCTTCTTTGCCATAAGGTAGTAGAGAGCAACATGATCGGTGTAGACTGTCACTTTGGAACCCAAACAAATAGGCTCAGAATTTTTCAAAAGCATAGACAATAGCAAACAGTTCTTGCTTCGTCACAGTGTAATTCATTTGTGCACCATTAAGTGTCTTGCTTGCATAGTAGACATGATGAAGAATCATGTTATGCCGTTGACTGAGTACCGCCCCAATAGCTACGTCACTGGTGTCACACATGAGTTCAAATGGAAGAGACCAATCAGGTGTAACAATAATAGGTGCCATTGTGAGTCTCGCTTTCAATTCTTCAAAAGCTTTGAGGCACTTCTCATCAAAATCAAACTTTGAATCTTTTTCAAGGAGCTTGCACATGGGGCTTTCAATTTTTGAGAAGTCTTTGATAAATCGTCTATAAAAATCGGCATGCCCCAAAAAGCTTCGAACTCCTTTTACCGAAATGGGAGGAGGAAGTTTGGAAATGACCTCGATCTTTGCCCGATCAACCTCTATACTTTGGTTGGAAATTTTGTGGCCCAGAACAATACCCTCGTCCACCCTGAAGTGCATTTTTCCCAATTTAGCACAAGGTTTGTTTCCTCACATATTTTGAGCATTTGCCTAAGGTTGTCAAGGCAATGCTCAAAGGAATCACCAACTACAGTAAAGTCATCCATGAACAACTCTAAGAAATCCTCTACTATGTCCGAGAAGATTGACATCATGCATCGTCGAAAAGTAGTCAGAGCATTGCATAGCCCAAAGGGCATCTGGCTAAAAGCAAAAGTTCCATACGGGCATGTGAATGTTGTCTTCTCTTGATCTTCTAAGGCGATGTTGATTTGGTTATAGCCAGAATAACCATCCAAGAAACAATAAAATGACCTTCCCGCTAGCCGATCAAGAATTTTATCAATAAAAGGAATTGGGAAATGGTCCTTGCAAGTAGCACTATTGAGCTTCCGGTAGTCCATGCAAACTCTCCATCCGGTCACTGTCCTCGTTGGGATGAGCTCATTTTTGTCGTTTTGAATCACGGTCATGCCTCCTTTCTTTGGTACACATTGCACCGGATTCACCCAGGGACTATCGGCAATGGGGTAGACAACCCCGTCATCCAACCATTTAATGATTTCTTTCTGCACCACCTCTTGCATGGAAGGGTTTAACCTTCTTTGATGCTCCACGCTAGGTTTGCTCTCTGCTCCAATTGTATCCAGTGCTCACAAATTCCAGCGGGAATCCCTCGGATGTCCGCTCTGCCTATGCTCCCTCAAGGTATTCAACTACTGTTCAACATGCACATCATTCAACAAAGAAGAAACGATTCAGGTAGAGTGTCATTAGAGCCAAGAAATTTATACCTTAAGTGCGTAAAAGTGGCTTGAGCTCAAGTGGTGGCAGCTCTATAATTGAAGGCGTAGCGGGAGGAGTGACTCTATTCTATAAGTCAAGAGAAAGTTTCTTTGGTGCATAAGTGTAGGATCCAAGCCCTTCCAATGCATTCACCGGTTCCATGTATCCTTCCATGTCTTCACCATCAAAATTTACCAAAATAACCGCCAATGCCTCACCAAGGCATTCTTCTTCCATCTTCACCTTGACTACCTCCTCTACCTCATCAACAATATCAATGACTGAGATACTTTCGTATGCAAGTGGCAATTTCATACCCTTACTCGCTTGAAAGGTAACCTCTTCGTCACTAACTCAGAACTTGATCTCATTTTGTTCCGCATCTATCAGTGCTCTTCCGGTAGCAAGGAATGGTCTTCCCAAAATAATAGAGATTTCTTTATCAACAACATAGTCGAGGATAACAAAGTCGGCAGGGAGGAGGAACTTCCCCACTTTCACAAGAACATCATCAACAATTCCCACCGGTCTCTTTATTGAACGGTCGGCCATTTGCAACCTCACACTTGTAGGCCTAGGCATACCTAACCCTGCTTGCTTGTGAATAGAAAGAGCCATTAAGTTGATGCTAGCCCCATTATCACAAAGGGCTCGTGCAAAATCGCGCAACCCAATCGTGCATGGAATAGTAAAGGCTGCCGAATCCTCTTTCTTTTGGACGGTGGTTGTCGCAATGATAGAACTAACCCGGTGAGTCAGATTCACCACTTCATTCTTGGTGGTTCTCTTTTTAGTGATCAAGACTTTCAAGTACTTAGCAAAACCCGACATCTCTTGAAATGCTTCCACAAGTGGAATGTTCACTGATAATTGCTTAAGAATGTCATAGAACTTCTCGAGTTTGCTATCATCAACCTTCCTAGCAAGTCTTTAAGGGAAAGGAGGAGGAGGCCTAGGAATTGGTGCTAGAGTTTTTGGTGTCTCTTTCACCTTTTCCTTAATCTCTTCACGGTTCACATCTTGAATTTTCACCTCCTTTGAGAGTCTTTCAGCTTCAACAACAATTGGCATCTCAACTTGTGCATCAACTTCTTGTTCAGAATCTTCCACTACGACCACTTGTTCATTCTCTCCTTGAAGTAGTTTCCCACTTCGAGTTGTGATTGCCATACAATGAGAAGTCGGACCACTCCCACTACCTTTTGGGTTCACTATTGTGTCACTTGGGAGCATGCCCTTCTGCTTCGGATTTTGCTCTCTTGATGGATCTCTCATTTGCAATTCTAACTTTTGTATGGATGTGGTGTGAGAACCCACAAGCTTGATCATATTCTTCATTGAAGTGTCAGATCTTTCTTGATTTTGCAATACTCGTTCAAGCATGTTTTCCAACTTGGACTCACTTGAAGAACTTTCCTTCCAATGCGGAGAGTTGGAATATTGCCCCCTTGGTGGAACATAGGGGTTTGAACTCCGATTTGAAAAGTTGTTGTTGTTGTTGTTACTCCAACTCCCTTGATTTGAACTACCTTGGTCGTTTCGCCACTGTTGGTTGCCTTGCCCTGGCAGGTTAGACCTCCATTGGTTTTGTTGTCCTGAACCTTGATAGGGTTGTCTTTGATAACCTCCTTGAGAGTTGTTGACATAATTTGCTTCTTCGTAATCCTCATTTGACATGGGTTGCACATTTTCCACCACGTTCACCTTTTTTGTTTGGCTTTCAGTGAACATCTTCGTCAACACATTGACATTGGTGGCTAGCCCGGAAATTACTTGGTCTCTTTCTTAGTTCTCGTTAATCATGTTGGTAAAGGAAGGAGTACCATATGCAATTCCACCCGTGGTGTCCTCTGAGTGCCAAGCTTGGTTATGTTCTGCCATTTCGTCAAGGATTTGTGTGAACCTTGCAAATGTTTTATCCATAAAAGATCCATCAGCTGCATTTTTTACTATGGATTGATTCATAGGATCCAAGCCCATGTAAAATTTCTCCAACAAGATAGTATCCAGAAAATCATGATTCGGCGGCCTTACTAAATATAGCTTGAATCGATCACATGCCTCATGTAGATGCTCTCCCGGTAATTGCTTGAAAAAGAAAATTTTATCCCGAAGCTTAGACTTCTGCTCTGCGGAAACCACTTTGCTAGGAAAGCTCAGACAAGTTCGGACCAAGTATGAATGGAATTAGGCGGTAGATTTTGGATCCATTGTCTTGCCTCTCCAGTTAGAGAGTACTTGAACACCCTCAATCTTAGGATATCATCTGAAACGTGATTCTGCTTGTGCATCGCACACACACCCAAGAAAATTTTGAGATGCTGTGTCGGATCATCATCTGTGGAATTTTGGAAAAACTCCTCTGCCTTGAGCATTAGGATTAGATTGTGTTCCATCTTGAAGGTGGCAGCATCAACTCTTGGTGGGGCAATAGCATTTGTATCCTCAATATACTCATCTATATCCACAAAAATATTTTCTTCTTCTGGTTCGCCCATGTACCTAGTGACACCAAGCAAAGCAAGCAAAGTGTGATGGAATAGAAGAAGACGTAAAATAAAGCACACACTAATTAGTAATTTCAACACCGTATTCCCCGGCAACGACGCCAAAATTTGATACACTCAAATTATACCTAAATAAATGGTGTAAGGCGGTCGATGTTAAATATAATAACCCAACTAGGTTGGGGTCGAATCCCACAGGGAATAGGTGAGAAAAGGTTACTTGAATAGTGTGAAACTTGACTTAAATCGTAATCCTACTCCGTTAGCTTAAAAGAGAGTGTTGTAATTTTGACTTATCAAGAAAACTGTTTTGTTATGAGAATGTAATTAATTTAATTAAGGAAACCAAAGTTGTGTCCCCATCAATGGAATGTAATGCTATCGGTGTTAATATAATATATTTCTAATGGAAGGTCCTTTGATATGCAAACGATTTCTAAATGGCTATCCAATATTTCTCAATAGTTAGGTTGTATTTCCTCTTTATGATTTTCCCAAATAAAAGAGTTACAATTAAGAACAACCAATTTATGCCAAATAGAACCCACTTATTCCTAAGCGATTCTATTAAACAAGGTTTAAAGCCTTGAGTTTTTGCTATTCAATTCTACCAAACCCTAACCCACTTTTCCAAGTAAAGAGAGAATGAAATGACATTAGTCAATGTTTGCAACTATCAACATTAAATGAAGCATGAGAAATGAATAAATACCAACCANTCCATTTGTCGCGCCCCCTTTTTCTCGCGAAATCGGGCTTGTGACATTTAGGAGGACAACTCGTTCCCTTTTGGGAATTGGGTTTTGGAACTTGAAGAGTCGCCACTAATGATTAAGTGCATTAGGACACTAAGAAGGGTTTGAGTTTGAAGAACCAGAGTTTGGGTAAGGGCTAGAAATTATCTCGAGGGGAAGGTGTTAGGCACCCCTCAAGATCCACTAGTGTGGTTCCCGGCCATGTTATAATTGTGACTTCACATAATCAAGTAAGCAAGTAAAAGCCTCAAATAGAAGGGGATTTTCACATATTATTGCTAGCAAATTGAAAGTTTGAAGAGAATAAAGAAAGCAGGAATTTTTCGGACAATAAAACAAGTTAAAAGAAAGGGGGGTCCTAGGTTTACAAACAATATGGATCACATCAATGCAATACCCGACAATCGCTCCTCAGAAAAGGGGTTGCACGTGGTATTAGCGCACCGATCATCATATCCATATCTACCCCTCCCACCCCGTTAAGGTAGTAAAGCGCAGAATGGTGTCGTTACTTATTGCATGCTAGTACCCACCCCAATCCTATCAGTCCCGGAGGCATTTGGGACTACTAGTCCTAAAGGGAAGGGAGATTTGGTTTTCAGAGTTTTTAAAGGACAAAATTCTAGGGCGACAATCAAAACATATAAGGCAGGTATGGGGAGAACACATAACAGTTTAAAGGGCTCAATCAGGCCTCCTCATTTAAAGAGACAAATTGGCTAGCATGACTTACAAGTACTGGTTGTGGTCTGAAATCAAATTAAAGCGTAAGATAGGCTGATTCATCACATATTTCTCAGATGAGGAGTCCGAATTAGCCTTCCCTGGTTGTAATTTATCAAAGACTGATGCAGTTAATTAATTACCTAATGGTCTGCCTAAGTGAGACCTATAGGCATGATATCTAACAATGCTTACTCCGATTTTAAAGAAGGCTTACTGATTGTGGAAAATACATAAGTTCTGCGGATGTTAAACGACATTACTACTTATTTTAGACTTGTAGATGAAATAAACGAATCAGATTCAGCTGGTTACTCCTATAGGCATGACTTCTAGGCGTTGTTGATTTTAAGACGATTATGAAAGTGCAAGAGTCCTATAGACATGGTATCTAGAATGAAACTTATTATTACTTAACCTATAACTATTTGCCTAATGATAGATGTAAAATGCAAAAGTGCCGAAGCTATAGACAGGATTTCTATATGACGTGCATGAATGCAGAAAACTATAGGCAGGATTTCTATATGACGTGCATGAATGCAAAAAACCTATAGGCATGATTTTTAATGCGGAAGTGCAGAAACTATAGGCAGGATTTCTAATGAAATGCGGAAGTGCAGAAATTGTAAATGATAATACCTATGAGCATGCTGTCTACCCTTTGCATACATAAGTGACCCTCCCCTTTCACTAGAACCCCATAAATTATTACAACATATTACAGACTAGAATGAATTAAGAAAAGTAAAATTACATCAGAAATTAAGCTACAACCAAGGAGCCTAATTCAGACTCAATGTCCAACAATATGAGGTGAACCAACTTCCAAGATCAGGTTTCCAAAGCCTTCTCTTATTTGGAATGTGTCAAAGTTCCTCAAGAGCCTCAAATGGACTCCGGGCAATGCTTACAACCCAAATATATTGCAGAATTAAGAGCATAGTGCAGTGTGGGAACGCCATCCCTCAGATGTCCAAGTTCAGAGGGAACTCAAGGTCCCAAAGCAAGGCTCGTAAGAGGGGGGCAGAACTTAGAATCTAAGAGTAAGTGTAAGTGCATAGAGGGGGAATTAAGGAGAGCCATGACAGGCTGATGGTCATGCCCAACAATCAGGAGTGCTGGCACACCCCTGACTAGCCTATTAGCCACATTTGAGAGTTTGGATCCATTGAGGATCAGGTTCAGACCTAAGCAGCAATTTGGATGCTATCAGGCCATGAACCTTAACTCAAGCCATAGAAGGGAGTGGGGGTATAGGGAGTTCATAACAAACAGCAGATGCAAAGAGAGAGTAACATACTCAATGCAGAACATGAACAACAAAGTAGACAAAAGTGTAGCAACTGTAAAATAAACACATATGGATGGTGCTGAAATCGGAATTAAGGCATACCAGTTTCAGGGAAACAAATAAGTGAAAGCTGAAGTCTTGAAAACCAAATTGCAAGCAAACAGTACAAAAGATCTCAGAAGAGAGTAGAGTATTGAAAGAGTATTGTAATTGAGAGTTGTGCGTGTAAAGTGTTGAATTCGAAGCTGAAGGTTCAAGGTGTCTAAGCGCAGAAGGGTCGTACCCCTTTTATAGTGCAAAAAACAAGTAAGAAAAGGTAAGGGAACAGTTTGCAATCAATCACACAGAATCTCCCTTAAGTTAAGGGATTCTGATTTCAAACGGGTAGAAGACAATTAAGGAAATAATTGGATTAAAATATTTTCCAAAGTAGTACAAGAAGGGCAAATACATAGAAACTATTTAAGGAAAGAGTTTGATAGCAACACGGTTTGTGCAAATAAGGAAAGACAATCAATCATCAGCCAGTAAAAATCAGAAATTGAGTTTTGG